GGCCACTTATTCAGCGCTGGACGAGCATTCAAAAAATAGTCGCTAAGGTCGCGGGCAAGAACCGAACAGGTATGGGCGAGAGAGAATGCAGCAGCAGAACCAATGGAAGTTGTTATCTATACGTCCTAGACGGCACCGGACTGAGGAATGCGTGGTACCAGGTTAACACGAAGCACTGGCGCACTTTTATAATGCTCTTTGGAGGGGGGGAGCGCAGTGGTACAATACGTGCGACTGCTTACCCGCTTGTAATGTAAGGAGGAAAGATTCTACCGAGCGAAATGTCTGTTTGAAAGAATATAAATTAAAAGCGCTGACTACATTGAACTGTCCCAAAGAAAAGTAGCCGCCAGAGGTGAGAGCTATTACAGGTGTTTGCGCTTGGAAAACATGGAAATTGTCAAATGCCAACAAAACTAGCCTTAAGTGTAGAATCAGCTGATCCAGAGACTAACAAACGGCTATCCGCTGACCACGCCACTTGATAGACGGCATTGACGTGACCTCTAAAGTTGTGCAAGCCAAACTTTTTGTATAGTACCAATGGAACTGACTCATTGGGAAAAAGCACAATTAGGAGTCAATAGCAAACAAAGGAGTCATGGACTAATGTTCACTGAACAAACCTCAGCGAAGCAATGAATTTCCCAGTTCGGCCACACCATAGCTTGACAGACTTGTCGAAGGAAGCTGACGCTATGTACCGAGTATCTGGCGAGAACATAACCTAAAACAGTGATTGTTTGTCGGAACAAGAGCGACAAAGGACCGATGACTTGGAAAAGTTAACTTATTGTTACCTGATTCACAAGCTGTTGATGACCAGTCAGCCTGGCAATTGCGCTTTTGGACTCAGATGGATTCCACAGGAACATCGTGAAATCATCCGAACCACTCACAAGTCGTTCGCCACCGCACACTTTCAATGCTTCTTCGTATCGTCGCAGAGCAGTTTTTTGGCACTTAAAAGACGAGGTGAATTTTAATAACAAAGCTTGAACTCAACGGTTTTCACGTCGCTGGAAGAAATAGACGAGCGAATGTGTTGACAGCTTGCATATTACTAACCTCATCCTCACTGGCAGGTCTCTTACAACCGGTTTTTGGATCAAAGCAGCTCGTTCTCAAAGCATAGTCCGTGTTAAGCGCTAAAGTGTTGATCCAGTGCGCATGACCGGTAAGATTTCTGCAGATTATTCCATCGCTAGCACGCCACACCTTCACAGTACGATCCTTAAAATTGAGTGTGAAAATATTACCACGACGACTACATTCCCCAACAGGAACCGGTATAACAACAAGGTTACTGGAACGCCTTTCCAGAACGGTCTTTTTATGTTGGGTGGATAAGGCCGGCGGTGCGCAAGACGTGGCAAAAGATGATCGTTTTCCGCTTGCACACGCTTTTGGTCAATCCAAAAAGGTGGAATATAACAGACGAAAATGCCAGTCAGAGTCATTCCAAAACCCGCGTCGGCAACCTAAGGTCGACCAATTAGATAAATCAAATGGTTAGAGCGACATGGACCGAGTTCGTCTGCTTGGCAGAGGGCGTGGTGGAGTATGGCAATTACTGTTCGTAGCGGCCCGGTAGCAGTCCGGCAGTTGGCAGCTGCTGCATTCGACCGCCTCTTCTTGACAAGAACGATGCAGGGAAAACAAACCAGATTTTTGTTAGCCAGGAATGCACCCCAACAAAGGCAACAATCCGTTCCTTAAAGACACTTCATGACCTGAAATCTACCCATGCGATGATTCGAAAAACGGTATTTCACACATTCACCGCAGTATGGAGAATTTCTGGTAAGAAAGTATTATTAGTACGCAGAATTTACCTGAGATCCTGAATAAATTAGTCCTTCACCGCCCCATCGTATGCTTGTTACGCAGGCTGTGTGACCTGGAAATGTGAAGAACTAAGGAACCGAGCAACTCAAACGGACGGTACAACGGAAACATACCACTGAGAGAACGCTCCACAGTTCCCTTGATGGTATCCCAGATGAGAATATTACCGTCCTTACCAGCACTCGCGAGAAACCTGAATAAAACTCGAATAGCACTTTCAAACCAGCTCGTAACTCAAATGATGAAACTGACCTACAACTGGGGTCCTTATGCATTGGTTGCCAGGCCAAATGCGTGATCCACTGTTTATGCCGCACCAAAGTTTTTCCTAATTGCATGCCTGTAGCTGCATCCCATATCATAATCTGAACAGAAAGATATCAACCATGTTCGGTTCCAATCATTAAGGACCAGGATTTTTATGAACCACACGTTCACAGTAGCTAAATGACTTGCCCGACAACATTCATACCTGTCCATTTTTGCATGCGGAGGCGATTTTTTGGCGTCTGGGGACCACGCTATGCATAGAACCCAATTCTTGTGTCCTTTGCAGGTGAAAAGAGGCAATTCTGTGTCTATATCCCATATCCTCACAGTTGTGTCACCCGATCCGCTAGCGAGTCCTCTGAAACACAACAGTTAAACTGAGTTCACATCTTGCTTTTTGGAAACAATTTGCTTTCATAGGATCCCCACCCCTGGGTACGACCCTGTTCATCAAATTTGCGCGAAATCTTGCCCAGCGGGAGGGATATGGCAAGCGTCAGAAAAAAGAAAATAAACAACACGAAAAACTTAGCTGGATCCGAGGTGAAAAACGACCTCTCGCCAGAAGCCAAATGCGACCTTCCCCACTGTGAGGTCCATGATGGATGTTTGCCCTGATCACAAAAGGAATCGCACGGAGGGAATTAAGGTACTCTCTCTATCCTTGAGACGGGGTAGGCGTGGCATTTAAACATGGCACAGAATAAATTACTCATAAATTACTGGGATATTTCAGTTCGAGGTTAAATGCCATCTTGTTTTGTTGGACGGTCACACAACCACAATTGTGTCAAAAAGAAAATATCCCACCTAAAAGCACTGCTAGCACCACGTATGGTTGGAGTGCGCAGTCAAGGATTTTAAGTGGAACTAGGGGAGATCCAAATTCCAGTGACTTTTAATGACGAGATCAATACCATGGTGCAAGTTTCCTAGCGTTAATCTCGAAGCTGCTCTAAAGGGAATTTTGGTGGTCTAATCCGTTCAGAGAGCCACTGGAAAAGCAGTGGAAAATCATTTAGTGCTGCTTTGGAGACTTCGAACCTGGAATGGCTCCGCACTTTTCGAAAGAATAAGGAAAAGAAAGAAGAAAGG